TTTTTTTTTTTTTTTTTTTTTTTAAACATATATCCTAGGCGCAGCTTTGACACGTATACATCCTAGACGCGGTTTTGACACGTGTTTTTATTCAAATTCTTACAATCCCCCTCTAATCCCTCTCATTCCCCGATTTGCATTGTTCGTGGAAATCTAGGGAGTATGAAGTCTCCCCCCCCTATTCTTTTTCCGACTCCTCCTCCTTTCTGCCTTATCTGGAATCTTATAACTGTCGTGTTCCTCTGTTTATGTATATTGTGGTAAATAATTGTAGGTTTTTCTTTCTCTTTTTCCAGTGTTCCTTTTATTCTATTGTTTATTATAATGTTTACGGTTATAACTTCTAAACCTAAGATCTAATAGCGTTATACTACCTTACAGCTAGTATGTTCTTAATCCTATGAATCTCTTATATTTTTAGTTATAATATGTACATTTATTATATTAAGACTAATGCTAGGATGCTCCCTTGGAGCTATGTGATTTTAATCCTTTGCACTCGAGGCCTTTTTCGCTTGCGCTAACCAGCAACTCGAGACGGTTTCGGCCAAATCAGGGATACTTTTTACAGGTACTTTAAAAGCATTTATAAGCAAACAAGCGTATCGAAGTAATAAAATTTCACAAGTTTATTCATTTATATGTTGAAAACAACAAACTTTATTACATATTACACTCTGTAATTAGTTTTGGTGTGATATTTTATAAAACAGTGTCCTAGGTGCATCCTAGGTTTCTCAGGACACGTATCGCAGTAATACGTGACTCCTCGCCTACCTCCAGGCGTGCTACGGTCAGAACAAACTTTGCAGTCCCTTTTTGGCCCTTTTAGCATTATGTGGAGCTTCCCGTTAAGTCGGATTTCATCCGAATGTGACGTAGATGCTTGCTGTCGTTGCTGGCGATACGGTCCTCTCAATTGTTCCACGAGTGTTTTGACATACCGCCGATGGCTCAGCGGCTTTTCCCCTTTCTTGATCTTTTCTTGTTTGTACAAAATGTACGAATTGATGAGGGAAATTTCCATGCCCCCAAAAAAAAGCTTATGCCACCATTTGAGCGATTTTCGCAAAAAGCAACATGTTGACGCATATTGGTCCGCCAGATCAACACCACCCATATATTTTATATAATTCAGTACCACATTGGGTTTCTTGACCATGATATCGACACCACCTCGAGTAATTCTTCTGAACGTCGTCATCCCTGTGTCACCCCTCGTAGTTAAACAGGTGACAACCCTCTTGTCTTTCCACCCTAAAACTAACGTCTTGCCTCGTCGATACGCGACCGTGAGTTTTTTCGAAAAATTAGGCTTTTTTATTTCTTTGGGCAATTCTTTCCTGTTTGTCAAAATTGTTCCGGTAAGATGGCAATTCAGTTTGGATAATTCTTGAGCTAAGATATAACTAGTGTAGTAGCGGTCTGTGTACATATGGTGCCCCTGAGCACCTGGAATTTTCTCCAACGACATTTGGTATAAGTGAAGCGGGATTCGTGTTGATACTGGTAAATCGGGTCTGACCAAGAGCTCTGTGGTGAGTGATCCATAATACGGCAAAATGCAACAAATGTAGCCAGTTTTTGAGTCAGCTAGAGCATAAACTCTGATACCCCATTTTGTCGGCTTTTTCGGATTATATGTTATGAATGAAATTCGACCCTTGAATTTTACCGTTGATTCGTCCACACATATGTGTTCGCCCGGGATGAAATAGTCCAAAAACTTAGAGCTGACATATTCCAGAAAACAATTTACGCGTTGTAGGCGCGTTCGTGGATTGGTGTTGCTTGTTGGGATGGATTTTAGATGAAGCATCCAGAAGATTTGGCTGAATCTATCTCTGGTGAATGTATCCGCATAAAAAGGAATATAACTAACGGCATTCTTCGACCAATATTCTTGCAAATTGGCCAACGGCATTGTCCCCATGTTGATGATGACAGCAAGAAATGCCCAGAACTCTTCGAGGGTCACATCCCGCCAGCTTCGCCAAATTGAATTTGCAGATAGTGTCTTTCCTTCCAGTCTTCTCTTTGCATATAAATTGGTTTCCTGAATAATTTCTTTCACAAGGTCATTGGTGAAAAACAGTTTAAAAAAATCTATTGGTTGTTGTGTGTTAGAAGCTATCCGTGTTGCTGTGATGTTTTGACCAGGTATAAATGGTACGTTTGGCGGCACTTCGTTGTAGTCTTCGCAAAGTACCCATGTTGAATTACTTGCACCTTCCACAGCGTCACTTTCAATATCACTCTCAGCTTCACTGTCGCTCTCTATAATTCTTATTTTTCGTCGCCTCACACCTCTTACAACATCACCGTCTTCTCCACTGGATTCGTTCGTTTCGCGGCGTAATGAGTCGGAAATCAATGTAATCTCATTGTCTAAAGCGCCAAAATCAAATTCGTCCGAACTCGAGCTGGTGCGATCTTCCTCCATTTTTTAGGGCTCAAATACTTTTAGATTGCTAGATTTGCTGTGAAGACTGTTTCAACCGAATGCTACACTGAGACTGAACTAAGTTGTAAGATTTGGCCACAATGACAGCGGAGCCGAGTCCACGAAAGTACTTCCGAGAAAGGTATCTTATCGCACATCGTAAATAATGAGATCGAATTACAAAGACCATAGCGTCGTAGCAGCGCCGCTCGAATTGATACTTCAAATCGGCCGGGCGCTGTATCGGCGCCACTCAAGTTGCGACTTCAAATCGGCCGGGCACCGAATCGGCGCCGCTCGAGTTGCGACTTCAAATCGGCTGGGCACCGAATCGGCGCCGCTCGAGTGCAAAGGGTTAATAACTAATCTAATTACGCCTCCGCATAGGCGTATTCTTCCGTTCTCTCTGCGTATGTTTTGTGTTGAGTTTGTGGGCGTCTTAACCATGACTTTTCTCCCCTTGTCCTCCGGTTCCGCCTCTTTCCAGAGGGTCCACGCCCGTGCCCCTATTGTCGGATATTCAATTTCTAGGGCCTCCACCATGTCTTTAAATGACATGGTGCAGTGACTGCACCATATCGTTAATGTATTCCTTTTCTCCAGCTCTTCTGGTGCACATTGGATCACTTTCGATCCTCTCCATTGGACCCCCTTGTCCACTTCCTCGACCATCAGCTTATATGTCTTTGAGCATTTGGTTGTAAACAATACGCCACCGCTTTTTACTCCCCATCGTATAAGGGAGAACTTTCTCCGTATTTTAAGCGATTTCCTCATGAATGTGTCGAATATGTGATGCCCTGCATCCCTAGTCACCTCTCTATCTGCTAGTTTTAGTGCCAGTGTCCTCTTTCCTTCCCCCTCCTCTCCTTCCTTCTCCTTTGTCTGCTTTTTCCCTGTTCCTGTTGGTTCCTTGCTCGGTTCCCCTCTTGCCTCCCTCCTTCCTTCATTTCCCTCCACTCGTACCTCGGTCAGTGAGTCCTTTGACTCGGAGTCGTCTATTATTAACTCCATCGGTTGGCTCATTTCTTGCGTCCACATGGCTGCTGGATGGATCTTTCGTTGTCTTGATACTGCGTTTGGTAATCCACAAAACCGCTCTCCGTGTAACAATATCACCAATTACACAGCACCCACGTATCGATATAGAGAAACTAGTACTTTTTGCTAATGCTTTTACTTCCGTTAGTCTGTGTTTGCACAGGAATACTGACCTTGTACTGTACTAACTGACTTATTGCAGTGAATACGGAAAAAAAATTGTACAAAACTATAACCGTGCGTTCGGTCCACCGCAATTTCTACGTCTTCACTTTTCAGTAATTTTTTACGAGATGTGCTGGCGAAACTTACGTCCTGCTCTGCAGTGTAACGATTTCCGCCAAATTTTCTTTTCCTGGTCCTATTTCCAGTGGCTTTTAAATGTTGCTTGTCACTTTTCTTATCCATTTTCTATCGCTTAGGTCACTTCTGTTCTGCCCGAAGGTCTACGACGAAATGAATCATTCACCTCTGTTTATATTTCCCGTAACTTCAAATATACTACAATTAGACGCTTGGAGGGGTCCTTTTAGCACAGAAGGAGATGATTCAGGTAACCGGGTCGTGGGAAACCCTGGGAGTAACGGTTTTACATTACAAAAGAATCGGCCTTCGCTGCAAGTGTCGAGCGCTCCGACTTATACCTGCGCGCCCGGTCGCGCCACTAAATTTCATAGCTCACAGCGTTGCCAATTTTTAAAATTCAGCCGTAATGCTTTAGGAATATGTTCTTAAGTTATTGAACTTTTAGAAAAAGCAAAAAAAAAATCGATTTTTTGACCCGTCACACAAGGGAGACCCCTTAATCAAGTGTCTTTTTTAATTATTACATTTGTTAATTACAAATGATCAAAATTATATCATGTTTGGTATCATTTTAACCAACCAAAAATTTGTCAAGATGCGTGAAGGCTTCATTCATATTTTTAATTGTCAAAGTCTTGACGTTTTTATCAGCTTCCTCTTCCTCACTTTCATTGTGTATTTCACTGTTACTCAATTGTTGCTCAATTAAGTACAGTCAACCCTCCTATAACGCGGTGAGTGCGTACCGCGTCATATGGAAACCGCGCTATAAGAAACTCGGATTTAACCGTACAAACCAGGCTAATTCGTAGCGCGTTCTATGGAAACCGTCTACCGCGTTGTATGGAAACCGCGCTATAAGAAACGCAGAATTAGTACAAATCACATTATTCGTACCGCGTTATATGGAGACCAATAAGGACAAGATAAATTATAAATTATTTTTATTGAATTGAAGAGTTTATATAAAGAAATGATACCAAAACTAAACTGAAAAACTGTTTTCCAACAAAAACAAGAAAGACTTTTGTAAAATTTAATCTTTCAACACTCATCCTCGCTGTCAGATAATATGAGTCGCCTAACTCGTCTTCTTTTAATAGGCAAAATGTCTTCCTCACTTGGCTCATCTTCACATTGGTTTTCGATTGTAGCTTTTTTTTCTAACTCCACTAAAACCTCTCTATAGGGAGCTAAGCAATTTCTTAACTCTCTTTTAAACTTTGCGCTA